AGAGCCCAGGACTGGGGCAGCAGGAGGTGCGGGTGGGGGGAGAGCCCAGGACTGGGGCAGCAGGAGGGTGCAGGTGGGGGCCAGAGCTGGGGCAGCAGGGGGTGTGGGCGGGGGAGAGTCCAGGGCTGGGGCAACACAGGGGTGCGGGGGGAGCCCAGGGCGGGGGTGGGCGGCAGCAAAAAACCTAGAGCTGGCTCTGTTCCTACCATTCACAGCAAGCTGCAGATTTCAGTTCCATACTCCTTCCCCCACCCTTTTCTGTTGATAGTGGCCGAGGGAATGCTGGGAAATGTAGTTCTTTCCTTGCTCCAGGGCTGGCTCTATAGGCAGGGAGCTAACCAAGGAACTACAGCTCCCAGGGCGCCCTGTTGGTTCTCAGCTCCCAGGCTGGATTCTTGCGCCCCTTGCAAATCTGCCGCCCCAAGCAACTGCTTGCTTTGCTGGTGCCTAGAGCCGGCCCTGGGAGGGCCCTACATATATAGGGCCTGCTCCTGCAGTTACTTTCAGCAAATTCAGTGGGAGTTTTGGGTGAGCAAGGAATGCAAGATTGGGCCCAGGGAGAGGAAAACATTTTCTTGCTGAGCCTGACACTGCAGCACTAATGGACCAATCAACTGTCAGACTTCAGTGATTTAATTTGAAATCATTTTATTTGGCTGTTGTCTGCCTTCATCCATGGAGCTTTTTCAGTTCCTTGTGGAAAAGAGCAAAATATACAATCATCACTTGATTTATTTGCTGATCCTCTTTCTTCAGAAATGCGTGCATTAAATAATGTGAGCAACAACGGTTAATTTGAATAAAATTGCATAATAGATAAGTGCATATACATACACACATACAGTATGTAAACTATCTAGAGCATTCTAGAGCATAAACAATGCAAAAGGTTGTCTTTTCAGTAATATTGGGAATGTGCATCGTTTGGGTAAATCACGTTTATTTACGGAAGCTTTTGAAAGGGATATTAACAGGAAGTTTAGGCCCATCATTTAGGTTTTTATGTAAAAGAAGGCAAAAAAAAAAAAAAAAGGTTTTACAAAACCTAGTAATGTAATAATGATAGAACTGTTGTCACTGATCAGTATTTTTTAATTCAGTGACAACTGTTTTTAATTTCTTTGGATTTAAACATTTCCTGCAGTGTTTACAATCCGAACAGTGCGGCCAGACTCCAGGGTCAGGGCCAGAACCTGACTAGAAACTTGTCTCCCACATTTTTCTAGGCCAAGCAGAGTGGCGGGTGAAATACAGACGGTATCTGTGGTGAAAGGAGCATCAGTTTTAACACCTTAACCGGTTGCCAGGTAACACAGGTGAGGATATTTGTGTTTGAAAATGATGCACTTTAAAACCTGCCAGTAAACCCTTAAATACTCACAGCATCATTTCAAATGTACAACCCCTTAGAGCTAGAGCCTGCAGTCCTTGCTCAGGGTGAACATCTGCCTCGCTCCCACCCTGTGTTGGGGGACAAATGCAGGGACTAGAGAGGAGGGAACCCTCTTCCACAGTATGGAACAGGGAGCGGGGAACCAGGCAACTGATTTGCGAGGGTTACTCTAGCAGTTGGGCTGTCATGGATTATGCCGAGATCGGTGGTGCTGGGCTGTGTGTGGACCCATTGGCCATCCCTCCGCCTCGCCCAATCTCCACCATGGAGCATGATGCTATGGAGCCTGGCTGCATAGTGCACAGGGGCATGTGGGGTCAACCTTGTGGAGCTGTACCCACTGTGCCGTTCGGCTCGGCTGTAGTTTGGCCCTTGTCTCTCCACAGGCAGGCACATTTCTTCTGGCATCCCTGGGGAACTTACCCCGAGTCCGAACGGCATGATTTGGCCCCTCCCTTCCTTTTTCCTGCCCTGCAGCCTCAATGAATCCCAGGATGCATTCATGCTTTACCATCACCCATAACCTAGATCCTTGGTCAAAATGTGACACACCACACGCCTCAGCCAACATGAGCCTACTCAACCATTCCACTGATAGGGATTTACAGACGCGCCCATGTTGATCTTGGCCCTCAGCTGATCCAGGCCCTGCTGGATTTTTTCATGCTATGGATTAAAAGGACACGGTTGCTATCAGTACTGCAGGTTTTCCTTTATGCAAGCGCTTAGCTCTTTTTGGTGGAATTCACTGCAGTGCCAGGAGCTGACGTATGGTCCTGTGCTCTGCTTATGGTGAGTGATTCGCCTGGAGCGTAACGGGTGCAGGCTGTCTGCACTGGGGTGAATTTCACCCTTAGAGGGGCCATGTTAGTTTGTTTCATTTCTTGGCCATATTTAATTAAGACACCGTAACCAGTGCTGTAAGCCCTGGGAGGAAAGCAATGTAGCCATCAGAAACCCGGCTCAGTTAGGTTTGGCTAATAACAGTGTTAGTCAAGTATCAGAGGGGTAGCATGTTAGTCTGGATCTGTAAAAAGCAACAAAGAGTCCTGACGAAGGGGTATTCACCCACGAAAGCTCACGCTCCAATATAGCTGTTAGTCTATAAGGTGCCACAGGACTCCATGTTAGTTAAGTTGATGCTACTTAGCAGGTGTAACACACTGTTCTTCACAGCCATGTGTAAAATGGTCCCAACTGCTCCCCTTTTGTGTCGGTGAGAAATTTCTCTCTAAAAAACCACAACACACTGATTGCCCAACAAGCTGACTGCCAAGCTGCGATTAGCAGAAAGGCTGGAGTAGCTATTGCATTGGCTCTATGCTGACCAGAGGCAATAGATTTTGGAAACAAACATTTGCTGCCAGAATAAGCAACAGTCTCTTGAGCTAGCAGAGCGTGGGGAGACCAGACAATGTGCTTGTGGGGGTTGCTTTCACTTTTTAAGAGAGATGTGCTGAATCCCCAGTGCGCATAGACTTGGCATGTGAAGCCGCTGGGGCTCACGCAGGGGATATTGGTTAATCATCTGATGCCTTTGTCACAGGCCATGGCCACTGACTGCTGCGATCAGACAGTCGGTATCCAAAGGCATTTTATCGGGGACACAGTGAACGATAAGAAGCCAAGATGCGCCCGAGCCAGAGGATTTTGCTCCAGATCGGAACATCCCCAAAGTTCAGGCATGGGGGGAGCTGAAGTTTGGTTAGGAGTGCGGCAGTTCTGACTGCAAAGGCGCCACCTTCCATGGCAACACACGCTGGCCTCTGCCACCATGAACACGAGAAGATACTCTGCATTCATGGCAAATGAGCGTGGCCGCTCTCCCCTTAACAGGCCTCCAGGGGAGAAGGATAACAAAGGAGCCATGACCAAGTATTTTGCAGTGATCCACATTTGCTCCTCAGTCACAAAAACTGGTGCAGGTCCCAGCTATGCTGTAGCACTAAGTCGAGCAGCTGCTAGGTCTGAGGGGCTCTGTACTGACCCCCCCACCCCACCTACACCAGCTGTCAAGTAATGCACCAGGAACACGCTTTTCAGAGCTGTTCAAGTAACAGGTGCCTAGCGGGTGGGAGGGGACCCAAAGCCCAACAATCTGGAGAGAAGAGTCAATGTGTCTGCCACTCTGACTCTCTCGGTATGAGCTTCTCTGGCTGCGCAGGGTGCAGTTTGATTAACACTAATGCTCAGAACTCCCAGTCTTTGCTTTAAGTGTCTAACATTAGCCTTAAACCCGGGTGGCCTCTGTGGTGCAGCCCAACGTGCTCCCTGCTATGTAGCTACGTCCTAGTTCGTTAACAGATTTTCAGTGTAACTTCAGGACCGATCCCGGGAAAGAGCTGTCCCAGCCTGTTTGGCAAGGCTGATTCAGTAACACGCAGATATGGGACTTGAGTTTCTCACAGCAGCTAAACATGGGAGTACTGCGAGGACACACAGCTTCTCTAAGGCTTAAATCTTACAGTCACCCTATAGCTCTCCCAGCTGGTCCCTGCGCGTCACCCAGGCCATTCCCAGCAATATGCAGGATCATCCCTTTAAGGTGTCACCTGCAGGTTTCCAGGAAGCCCTCCCAAGCTACAGTTGCTATCCTGTAGATTTCAGTACCAGCAGCCACCCGGTCTGAGATCATCTGGTATGATTACTTAGGAGGGTCTCCCAAACCTGTTGGAGAGCTGTCACTCCATAAATGCCTCTGTCTTGAGCATACGCTGTATCTCAAGGGGTTAACCAAGAGTTAATAGGGATGGATGTTAGCATGAACCCACAAGTTGAGGGGAGAATGACATCATCTGCTTCCACATCTCCTCATGTGTGTACTTCTACTGGTAAGTACCGCAGCTTTACCATTTAAATACCCTGTCCTGGACGGGAAAGCCCTTTTATGCATTTCTACTGGAGCAAGCATTAGTAACAGTAAGTAGCCCCAAGGACATGGCTGTAAATGTCCACCACATACAAAGCTGTCAGTGTGTAGGTATTAGCGCCAGCTTGATATGATCCTCCATTTAGGTTTGGCAGATGCTACACTACTTTCTCTTCCCCAGTTAGCGTTGATGTTCTTCTCAAGTTCTCTTTTACTTTAATAAATTCTGGTGCATGTTCTTCATGCTTCTCTTGTCCTCTCTCCAGCTAGAAGAAAGACCAGTGAATGTTATTTGTATGCTAGAGAATAGCAGTGCAATCCATTCACTACATTGTGGCAGGTTTCATACTTAATTACTATTGGCCGGATTCTGTAGCTCTTACTCACACTGAGTAGCATCTTGTTCTGCTATTAGTCCCGTTGGTTTCAGTGGAGCTATTTACAGAGTAAGGTACTACTTAATGTGAGTAAGGGTAGCAAATCTGTCCCTACATAAATAAACAATGGATAATTATAAACTATTATTTTAATTTAGTTATTAGATCTGGAACAGCTAAAGATTTCAATTGTATGTAGTTTGAGAAACTAGACAGTAAAATCAGAATGAAATTCACTCAGTTGCCTGGGCTGGCAGCAGGTCTGAAGGGAGGACCTGGTTCCTGCCAGGCACAGGTGTATGGAATGCTATAGAGTGGGCCTGGCCAGCAAACAAAAATACCGTTTTGTGACAAATGTCATGGTGTTGCCATTAGGTTTCGTTCTGCACCAGAACAGACTGAGACCTTTCGAAATTTTACACCCCGAAATTGAGAGCGAGCGAGACAGAGACTAGCCAAGAGCCCAGTGGTTAGGGCGTGCACCTGGGATGTGAGAGGCTGCATCAGGCAGAGCCAGGACCAGAACCTGGCTCCGCATGGCCTAGGTAATAACCCTAACCACTGGATTACTGGCTATTCCCAGGTGGGTCTCCCTCTCTCTGGGTTTGACCAGAAATTCCATCCTGGACCCGAGAAACCTTCCCAGCAAAAGCTTTGCCCATCCCAATACTTTCCCGGGGAAGGTTTTGGTTTTGAGCGATTGGCATTTTCTGGTGAAAAAATGTTGTGTCAACAATTTCCGGCAGTCTCTGGGGGGTGTTTTGCCAGAGGCTGCCCACTGGGGACAGGATGCCTTGGAGTGCCACTACTCAGCCACTGTAGTTCGCACTCGGGGTAGGAATAAGGCCATGGCTCAGTTCTGATGGAGAGCAAACCCTCTCTTTGGACTTGGCTCCATTTTAAGCACCTTCCAGCCCTTGTGCGGGGCACTTCATATAACATTGGGAGTGATTTAAAATTCAGTTTCTACCTGATCCAGCCTCTGCTGTCGCTTCAGGAGCTCTTGTTCAAATGGAGACTGCAATTTCTTTGCCTCTTCTTCTTCCTTTTTCTGCCGGAGCAGCTGATTTCGGCGTCGGTGCTCAAGCACTCGCTGGAGCTCTGGCTTGCTCTCCACGCCCAAGCCTCTGTGAACAGAACGCAGAGTATCTCTGAGCTGGAGCCCTTTCTGCCTTCAGCCCAGAATCTCATTGCCGTTAGACGTGTGCGGAGCCTGCTGGTTCAGAGAGCTGGGGCCCAGTCTTCAGATCCAAATAGGAACATTAAAGACCTGAGCCAAAGCCCATTGAAGTCAACAGAGAGACTCCCAACTGTTTCAGTGGGTACTGGATGTGGTTCTAAATGGCCCTTCCTCACCCAGCTGAATAATGACGCAAGGCCTGGTGCCAAAATCGAAATACATCACAGTAAATAAAATGGAAACTCACTTATTCCTGGGGTGGAGCTTATCCACTCCCCGAAACGACATGCAAAACCCAAGCAACGTTCAAATAACATAATGAAGATTTTACACTTTAGCTATAGGTTAATGAAGTTTATTGGCTGGGAACATGTAGCGATTTGTATCTGCTCTTAACTCATTAATGCATTAATAGGGGATGTGTAACATGCAGCGGTGCATACTGGAGTGCAGGGCATGCTGGGAAATGTGTGCTGTTTACAGTGAGTGGCTGGGAGTCATGGGCATAGAAAGCTAGCCAGACCTGGTGCCCCTGGTCCATTGCCACCGTCAAGTTCTGTGAGTTGGGGGAAGTGGGACAGTCTGGAGTGGCCTTTCTTATTAATTTGTAGCTAATTCTAAAACAGGATCATGTGTAAGGCTGTGAGTCTGTCACGGAGGTCTCGGATTCTGTGACTTTCTGGGACCTCCGTGATTTCTGCGGTGGCCGGTGCGGCTGGCTCCGGGCCTGTCCAAATATCTCGGGCAGCCCCTGGGCCAGCTGCACCGGCTGCTGCTGAGGCAATCTCAGGCCACCGCCCCCTTCGTCCCCCAGTAGCAGAAGCAGAGGTCTCTGCCACTGCGCCCCCCCAGCCCAGCAGCAGCGGGGTCCCTGGCAGCCACCGCCTGGCCCCCCTCTCCCCAGCACCTGCGGGGGTCCTGGGCCAAGCGCTGCCCCCCCAGAGCATCTGAGGTGCCCCCGGTCCCCCCCAGATCAACCATAGCGCTCCCAAGCCACTCCCTGCCCCAGAGCACCCGTGGCACCCCCAGGCCACCCACTGCCTTAGAACACCCAAGATTTAGTCAGGGGTATATAGTACAAGTCATGGACAGATCACCGGCCGTGCATTTTTGGTTACTGCCTGTGACCTGTCCATGACTTTTACTAAAAATACCCGTGACTAAAACGTAGCTGTAATCATGTGTAACTTTATGGGGCTGTTTAAGTGCCTGAGTTTTTCTTTTTTACCAGCAGGGGGAGTGAGTGACAGCAATTAGCCCTGCGGTTTACCTCTAAACCTCAAGCAGATTATTTCCTCGCTGTATCTAGTCTAGGTGCCCCTCCACTCGCTTTCTGGCTCTGCTGATTTTAGAGATGGAGCTAACATAGCGATGCTCCTGCCTGACCTAGAGCGTTTGGGCCTTTTGGCCAAAATCAAAGGCCCTTCTCCTGAACGCAGACGTTTCTGTCAGTAACTGAGGCAGTTTCATCCTTGGGATGTGTATTAATACAGCAGGGCTGGTCCGAGCAGCCGAGGTAGGCGACCTGATGGGCTCACTGGAAATGAGACATGTCTGGAGCTTTCACCTGTGTGTTAATGCATTGTGGGCACATGAGAGAAGGTCTTGAAGCAAATCCCTAGATTGAACACCACTGGGCTGTTCAAAATCCAGCCAGAGCTAGATTCCAATTTTGCAAATGCCTCCAACCTTCTTTATAATGGGCCACATGAACCCCTAAGACACAGGTCAGAAGTATTCATTATTAGTTGAGTCTCTATCTATAAAACACACCAAAACCACATTGAAATAACAAAGCCAAGCACTCCAAAGTCAGGAAACGCCAAAATTAAAACTGCCTGTGCGTATGCCTTAGGAGACAGTTGTCAATTACATGGGCACATACTGTTATTTTCATCTGGACCCCTGCCTCATTCCATGCACAGGGTGGATGGTGCACAGGCAGGCTTAATTGTGGCATTTCCTAACTTGTGAGGGCTTAGCTGTGCACGTTTAATGTTCTGTTAGCAGCGTTTTTGTGTGTGTAATTTCCTAGGTTTTAAAAAAAAGCAAACTGGCATCACAGTGACACTCATGTGGGTCATCAGCTGACACACACACACACACACACACCTTTGCCACTTGAGCCGCAACTGATAGCAATAGTAGGGTGTCTCTCTCTCGTACACACACGCACAGACAGACAAACGTTCTTTGCCAGTGGGTTTCACATCTGCCTGCTCCCCCACAAGCGTGACCACTTTGGCTGAAACTTTAAAAAAAAACAATTCAGCCTGAGCAGACAGCTGACATGGACAGTTTCAATCCTAATGGCCATCGGTACCTGAAACCAGGGTCTTAGAATGGGGAGTGTTGGGCAACCTGCTCCGGCTACAGAACAGAGTGAGCGAGAGGTTCAGGTGACCTGCCCAGGGCTGCATAGGGAGCTGGTGACAGAGAACCCAGCGTCCTCATGAGTCTAATGCCCCAAACACAAGACTACCTTTTCCCCTCTCTTTACACTACAGTGTGAGGGTCCCTACTCTTCTTCTAGGATTGGGGGAGGGTCTAAAATCATCCCCACCACAGAGAAGCTGAACCTGTCCCTTGTCAATATTAAAAATCCCTTTGATATAAATCACTTAAATCTGTTATAATCACTTCTGCCTCATTGTGACTCCATACCTGACAACATTTGCGAAGCTCGCTCAGCAATAAATTCATACGAACCGATACACTTATAGGGACACATCTACACTTGCTGAACTTTGAGAAGCAGAGACTTTGTTGAACTTTAGTCTGACTGTGCTAAATTATAAGACACTAACAGAAGAGCTGATTAAGAAGTGATCTCAGTGATACTGACACAGGATGGCCTCTTGTCCAGGGCAGTTGGAAAGTCGGTGTCCTTGGAGGACAATTTGGAATTGTACATTTTACTGAACTTCTAGAAGTAGTTGGAGACGTTTTATTTTTTAAGGGAGAGGAATCAAAAGCTTTACAGCTGTCCAGTATGGAGAAAGACTGATTATATTGTGATCTGCCACATTTCTGTAGGCTTGATCCAAACTCCATGTAAATCAATGCGCTTTGGATCAGCCTTTAAATCTGGACGAAATATTCTGAACACAGTTATATTAAACTGCAGGTACGAGGCACATTTTGTAAGATACAGGGCGTCACGTATTCTTCTGGAATGAGGATTTTCTTGGTCACTTTTCAGCTCTTAGACTCCACAAGGCCTGGTGTGGGAGACGTGGGGGGAGGGCAGGAAGGGGGACAACTGAAGTTTTGTGAAACCTAATTGGAGTTTAAAGAAAAGATGTCTGAGGTTCTCAAAAGAGAGAGCGAGCTTGTGGTAGTATAGGCTGCATTCTGGTGACATCTAGTGGGCTAAGTGGAAGTAACATAAGGCAGCACGCCCAGCGCTCTAACATCAAATTGCAGCTCACTTTTGCATTGATCAGTGAAAAGTTTAGCTAAACGAAGTGCATTCTCTGCTCTGCTCCCAGCGTGGTGTGCGCAGGTGACCTGTCCAAGTCCACATTATCACCTGTAATGTCAGGGTCAAGTCCAAGTCCAGGTTGTGTCAATATCAATGATGCCAATTTGCTTTCAGAAGGCTTGATTGTTAGCCAATTAAATACCTTGATTTGTCTCTTATGATTACTGCCGTCACTAATCAGTCTCGCTGCTGTTTATAACTAGCCGAGCAAATGGATATTATTATTATTTGATGATGTCAGATTTGCAAACAGTTCAGACGGTTAGGAAACATCCCACTGAGAGTCAGTAGAATTCACTCCTTGCTCAAAGGGCTCTGTACCAAATGTGCTTTTACCCAGCTGCTTTTGAAATCATCACTTTCCACATTACTGCGGGAATGCTGATGCACCTGTTGGGCCTGATTCCCTATTGCCATATTCCAGCTTTACACTGCTGTGTAACTCCATTGATTACAATACAGTTACACTGAAGTAACACACTGGAGAATGAGGCCCTTGAATGCTAGCTCAAGCTTTAAGCTAGCAGCAGTCTGCTTGTAGGGAAACAGGTGTCAGCATTTTCCCAGTGTGCAGGATCTTGCATTGATATGATCCGCGCTGTCAATAAACAGAGCAGTCCACCTTTCCCCAGCACAAAATTCACACCAAACACTCCAAGAGGCATAGAAGGGCTGTAAATCACGGCATTGCCTGGTGGGCAGGGGGAGTAAGACAGGAGGGGGGGATGTTTGTGGGACAGCACCTGCAGCTCCCACTGCCTTCTGTTGGAGTGGCTGGTGAGCGCTCTGCAGCTCTGAAAAGCAGGCCCGGCATTTAGGAACTCCCTAGCTTTTCCGAATGACCGAGCGATTCGTTTACAATCTGGGTCACAGCATGGCACAGAGACGCCGCCTCCCACCATAGCCTGTTTCACACCTTTTGCTATTTGCCCATAACAATAAAGAGTTTTACCACAAAAACCCAGCCTGCGGCTTTCTGACGAGTCACTCCTGAGCTGATGTGACACCAGAAACCACAGTCTCTCTCGTCCAGCCCAATGCAAAGGCAGCTGAAGAGGCGTTTGCATCTTTGCCTCACCTTTTGTGGTTCATAAGCAGCTCTCTGTGGAGCTCTTGGTGGCTTTTCGAGGCTTTTACAGGATTTAGGAGCTTCTTAGGTTTGATGAGATCCGGATTTCCATCTATGTAGTCTGGGTGAGACATGAAATTCCTAACCTCAGGACGCTCCCTCTGTATTTCTGAATACATAGACGCTGGAAGAGAAAAGAGAAGGCTCAGTATTGACAGGAACAAATTGAATTTGAGGGCAAAATCCAACAGGTACACCTTCCTTTCACCCCACCCCATCCCGTGTGTGTGTGTGCCCGTATGTATGTGTGTGTTTTAGTTGATGTACGTGTTTTTTAGTAGCAGCAGGTAGCCCCCAGTGAAGGGCCAGGATGCTTGGTGCTGTACAAACACAACAAAAAGAGGGTCCCTTTCCCAAAGAGCTTACAATCTAAGGGCTGGTCTACACCCAGCCGCTAGTTCGGCGGCTGGGGATCGAAGTTCCGGGTTCGACTTATCGCGTCTGGTCTGGACGCGATAAGTCGAACCAGGAAGTGCTCGCCGTCGACTGCGGTACTCCAGCTCGGCGAGAGGAGTACCGCGGAGTCGACGGGGAGCCTGCCTGCCGCGTGTGGACCGCGTCTGAACCGCGGTAAGTTCGAACTAAGGTATGTCGACTTCAGCTACGTTATTAACGTAGCTGAATTTGCATACCTTAGTTCGAATTGGGGGGTTAGTGTGGACCAGGCCTAAGTGTGTGTATGTGTGTGGCTTGGTGTGTGTGGGTGTCCGTGGGTGTGCATATATGTACCCATGCAAAAACTCATGCTGTTCGGAAAATCCCCATGATAGTGTGAATTTTATACAAATGAATTAGTCTACTTGTTAAACAGTGCCAGCCGCTCAGTTCACTGGCTACAGCATTTCATGATAATTGATTGATGAATGCAAGTCGCTACGCTGTAATCGTTTATGACAACGAAATAGGTCATAATAAAACAAAAGACAAACATTGGCCCAGATACTCCTGTGCGATGCAGCGGCTTTGCACTTTACTGCTAGTGCATCCAGACCCTAACGTGCTCAGCTCCAGGTGGACCCATGACGACAGGACATGACTCCATAAACTGCTCCAAAGAAATGGTCACAAGTTGAATGAAATGTATGAAATCTTCAACTTTCAGTGATACCCTGTTGGTTTACTGCTTTGTACCCAACCCTGTGCCCCAGAGCGTCAATATTACAGTTCACACATATAATACTTTTGCACATGTTAATATGTCAAAACATGTGCTTGTGATGTTGTAATTGACAGTATTTTGGATGTCAAACAAGCCTGCTGATGTTGTCCAAGGTTCAGTAATGCTGTTAAAAAAATTTTTTTTTATACAAAATGACCAAAACCACAGACTGAGAGATAAAGTACGCAAACTTTCAAGTGTCTTTTAGTGCAATGCACAGCCAGGCTGACGACGGTTGTGCCAGGCTGCATAAAGGCTGCATGCATGCAGGAATTGAAGAGGCCTGTAAAGAGGAATTCATTCTTAATCACTCACTCACAACCACATGCGTGTACAGTTTGGAAATTTACAAATCAGTGCAGCGTAACCTCAGGAAGCAGGTGCATGCAGGCAGCACCACATCAGGAACTGTCTCTCTTTTACATTTGGGTCTGGGGAACAGCAGGGCAAACTGTTGTTTTGCAACATCTTTCTCTTCTCAGCTCTAAAATCCATTTGAAAGAGCAATCAATGGAAAGGCCAGCTAGGGCGCTTCTTCCGCAGTCAGTAAGTGGTCACCAAACTTAAAGTGGGTTGCTAGCAAATAAAATTGTGTAAGAACAAATACTGCTGAGGAAAATGACTCAGTTCTGAACAGCTTCCCATTGCATGTTAATGTGGCTAGAGCCCCAGCACTCTGGGAATGAAGAAAAACAAATCACAACCCATTACATCAGCGTAATTGGGGTGAAAAGTTCAGTACACATTTAAAGGCTGCTGGAATCCTGGGCCAATGATTTCTTATATCAAATTATTTTCCATTAGAATCATACATTACTATTGGCAGACGTGAAAGATGGCTGGGTGCAGCCGTTCAGTGACAAATGCCTGGCTGAGTCATATACTTCTAGGGCCAGATCCTCAGCTGGTGAAAAATCAGGCTTCAGTGGAGCTCACTGATTTGCAGCAGTGGAGGGGGGGAGTCGGTCAGGATACTTTTGGGTTTAATTTCTTTTGTTTCTTCCCTTTTCCAGAGGCAAACACCCCCCGAGCACCGCCTCACCGAAACACCCCCCCCGAGCACCATGCCACGCCGCCGAAACAAAAACAACAACAAAACCTCGAGCGCCACCCCGCCGAACCAAAAAAACCCACAAAAAAACAAAACCCTGAGCTCCCCCCGCCACCCCAAGATTGGCCGCCCCTTACAAGGTGCTGTCCCAAGCACGTGCTTGGTCGGCTGGTGCCTGGAGCCGGCCCTGGCTAGCACAGGCTATCATTGCCTGTCCACCCGAAAGTCGGGGCCCACCCAAATTTCCACTCCTAGCTATGCCACTGGTGGAGCCTCCCAGACGACAGGATAGTGGGCTAGATGGACCTTTAGTCTGACTCAGTCTGGCCGTTCTTATGTAAATCTTCATGGGTCCTTTGCCTGACACAGTTCAGGGTAGAGTATAGAAAGAAAAGTGAGAACGTGACAAGTGCCCGTGTTCCCTAAAACATGACTCGGCTTACCTGTGGGTTCAGGACCCAGGCATCTCCTCCATTGCACTCTACCAGACGGGCACCCTATGGCCAAATGACCTGAAATGCCTCTAGTGGAGCTCAGCCAAAGGGTTCAGGCCTGCATGTAACTAATATCAAAGCCATACGGCTATCAGCCTGCTTAGTATCATCATTTAGAGGGTTTGTGTTGTAACCCAAGCTCCCTCTCTGCAGCACTGGGCCTGTTTTTGCAAGGTTCAGTCATATGTCAGTGGGATCTGGCCCTGTGTAACTGCGGTCAATGGGAGGTGGTGGGGCAGTGCCTGCGGGCGAGAGCAGCGCGCGGAGCCTCCTGGCCCCCCCGCCTAGGAGCCGGACCTGCTGGCTGCTTCCGGGGTGCAGCGCAGAGTCAGGACAGGCCGGGAGCCTGCCTTAGCCCCGCTGTGCCACTGACCAGGAGCTGCCTGAGGTAAACCTGCCCAACCCCGCGCCCCACCAAACCCAGAACCCCCTCCTGCACCCTGAATCCCAGTCCCACCCCCCAGCCTGGAGCCCCCCTCCTGAACCCCAAACCCCTCATCCCCAGCCCCACCCCAGAGCCAGCACCCCCAGCCGGCACCTTCACCCCTTCCCACACCGCAACTCCCTGCCCCAGCCCAGACCCCCCTCCTGCACCCTGAACCCCTCATTTCTGGCCCACCTGGAGCCTACACCCCCAGTTAGAGTCCTGACCCCCAGCCCCTGCCCTAGCCCAGTGAAAGTGAGTGAGGGTGGGGGAGAGCTAGCCACTGAGGGAGGGGGGATGTAGTGAGTTGGGGCAGGTCTCAGGGCAGGGGCGGGGCTAGTGTGTTCGGTTTTCTGCGATTAGAAAGTTGGCAGCCCTACCAGCACCTATAAAAGCCATTGGCTTGCTGTTCACATACGTTCCCTTTCCTCATGTCTAGACATTTGAGGGTTTCTAGGGAAGGCACTTTTCCGGGTGAAAAAGGCCAGAGGGCATAGATCTGGGACAGGCCATGGACATTGGAGGGCGTTTGGTTTGGGCTCCGCATGTGGCACTTTCCTCCCCACCCAGGCAGAGCTGTGGAAGGAGTGGAGGCCTCAGTCCATTTCCTAGCAGGCAGAGACTCAGAGACGCCACTTGGCGCCCCGGAGGGCAGCTTCAGAGAGAGGTGAAGACAGGATAGCCCTGGAGGCTGAACGGCCTCTCCCGGGTACAGGGGGTCCCACAGGTCAGGCTGAAGCCCGCTGATGGAGCAGCAGGGGGGAGCTCTGGGTGCCCCGTCCGTACCTCAGACTGAAGCTCCTTGTCTTTGTGCCAGACAAGCAGAGAACAGAAGTTTTTCATGGGACCCATCTCAGAATCATTGACAAACAGAATTGGAAGGCCACCCTGGAAAGTGCTTCTCCTTTCTAGCTTGCAAAGAACACAAGAGAGAAGCCCAAAGCAAAAGGCTTGGAACCCAGATGACAACCTGACACCCGCATTTCCTGGCCTTGTCGTAATTCTCTCGCCTTTCTGCCTTAGTGGCAGTTCCCTTTTGTATTCCGGGGTGAAACTGGAGGCACAGAGACACCTGGCGTCCATGCGGCTCTGAGGGAGAAGGGCACAGGCTTTGTTATTAGTCTGAGAAGCCTCATGTAACATTTCAGTCCTTGAGAGGCGCTGCCTTCACTTTGTTTTTCCAGAGAAAGGAACAGAGTATTGTGGCTGAAAAGCCTCTGGGGTGGATTGGCCGCCTGCCTGGAGAGTTACCAGAGCCGGTCAAGTGGCCGGTGCATCTACCTGCGCCAGACAGAACAGACAGTGGCGTGGGGCTCTTTGGCTGTTGCTATGATACGTACAGGCAGGTACTGGGCCCTACTCCTGCTTGCCTCGATGGCTGAATGACCAGTGACCATTTAAGTTAGCAATGGGCCAAACCCAAACCCTTCCAGTCATGCCCTACCTGGTGGGGTGAGGTTTGGGTAGCAGAGGGCCAGGTTCCGAACCACCACTGGTTTTGGTTTTGCAGAATGTAAACCAGGCCTGGTTTAGGCCCAAATCATCAGCTGGTTTAATCTGCAAAGCCCCATCAAACCTGGAGCTGTGCAGACCTACACCGGTGGGGGACTGGGCCCCTAATGTTTACAGTCATAACACATTGCTAGAGTCCAGCTGGGCATAATCAAGCTCTAGAGTCAGGAACCAACTTATTTTAATAAAAACGTGAGATTTCTAAAGCACTGGATGCCAGGAAATGGTTAGGCCAGCTTTCTCTGCAGCAGATATTCATGCGCTCACCTCCTGCTGTTACACCTAGGCAGCATGCAGGTCAAACAGGGGAGAAATTGGGGTGAAATAGGAACCAAGCCCTCAAACTGAAGAGGAAGTGAGGAGTAAGAGGGGGAAAGCCATTTCCTTTTAAAGGAACAAGGTTAACACTCCTGGGGATAGGAGTGGTGGAAGGAGGAGTTCCCTTTGAAATGTTTACCAAGCCAAGGCAATGCCTAGGCCCAAA